AAGTAATCTTGGTTGCAGGTTCTTGCTATTCATCACTTTGAATATTTCTTGCCACTCTCTTCTGGCCTGCATGGTTTCTGTTGAGAAATCAGCTGACAGTCGTATGGGTACTCCCTTGTAGGTAACTGAGTTTCTTTCTCTTGCTGTTTTTAAGATTCTCTCTTTGTCTTTTGCTCTTGGCATTTTAATTATGATGTGTCTTGGTGTGGTCCTCCTTGGATTCCTTTTGTTTGGGGTTCTCTGCGCTTCCTGGACTTGTAAGTCCATTTCTTTCACCAGGTAGGGGAAGTTTTCTGTCATTATTTCTTCAAAAAGGTTTTCAATATCTTGCCCTCTCTCTCCTTCTGGTACCCCTATAATTCTGATGTTGGTACGCTTGAAGTTGTCCCAGAGGTTCCTTACACTATCTTCATATTTTTGGAATCTCTTTTCTTTTTTCTTTTTCGGTTGGGTATTTTTTGTTTCTTTGTATTTCAAATCTTTGACTTGATTCTTGGGATCCTCTTTTCTGCTGCTGGATCTCTGTAAATTATTCTTTATTTCAGTCAGTGTATGCTTAATTTCTAGTTGGTCCTTTTTCATGTCCTCCATGGTCTCCCTATACTTATTGAGGGATTCATTAAATTTATCGGCGGTTTCCATAAAATTCTTGAAAAACCTTATAACCGTGGCCTTAAACTCTATATCCAATCGTTTGCTTTCCTCCATTTCTGCCATTTGTGACCTGTTTCTTTGTCTCCGCATTTTGGTTGCTTCCCTGTGTTGATAGAGTGGCTTTGTGTGCTAGGTGTCCTGTAGGGCCCAGTAGCTCAGCCTCCCCAGTTACCTGAGGTGGACGCTCTTGGTGCACCCCCTCGTGGGCTTTGTGCACAGTCTTGTTGTAGCTATGCCTTGGTTGTTGTAGGATCACTGGGAGGAATTGACCTCCAGGGCAATTGGCAGCGAGAATCAGCTGCCCTGATGATGCTCAGCTGTGTAGCAATGCAAGCCGCTGTGGGGCCTGGGCCTTCTCTTGGAAGCTCTGAGTCTATCTGGCCCGGCTGCGGTTAGGTAATTACAGGTTGCAAATGGCCGGGGCATTCATATGCAAAAGCCTCTGCCGCAGCCTGGGTGGGGCGGGGTCTCAAGGAATCAAAGGGCTGAGAAAGCAGCTATGGCGGAGCCTCAGCCCTGCCCTAAGGAGTCGCGAGTCCCAGTGTCCCGGCAACGGCTGCAAGCACCTCTGAGGGAAAGCTGCTCTCAAGCTCGCCCGCTGCCAGACAGTCCAGTATTTCCCCGTATGAGCCCTGGGTCCCCAGAGACTTCCCGGAACCGGATTTCAGAGCCGTCGGGAGCTTGTGTCTCCCTCCGGATTCAAAAAGACAGCCGCGTCCTCAGGTGCCAGACCCTTTCCGCGCGCGCGCGAGCCCCGGTACCTCTGCACGCCACCTCCGCAGCTCCTCCCGCTCGCAGTGTGCTTTTCTTTCCTTCTAGTTGTAGAATTTACACTCAGCCAGCCCTCCTGTAGTTCTGGATGATGTCCACCTTGTGTTTTTGATGCATTTATCGATTGTTGTGGGAAGCAGAAATTTCCCGGTGTTTATCTATGCCGCCATCTTAGTTTCTCCAATTTCCTTTTTTAAAAAAAAAAAAAAAATATTTTATTGATTTTTTACAGAGAGGAAGGGAGAGGGATAGAGAGTTAGAAACATTGATGAGAGAGAACCATCGATCAGCTGCCTCCTGCACACCCCCTACTGGGGATGTGCCTGTAACCAAGGTACATGCCCTTGACCGGAATCCAACCCGGGACTCTTCAGTCCCCAGACCAACGCTCTACCCAGTGAGCCAAACCAGCTAGGGCCAATTTCCTTTTTTATACCCATATTCCATTCATTTCCTGACTGTAATAGAGGGGAAAACACCTAATTCAACATAAAACTTTGTGTCAAAGTAGATTTAATGGTTAACCCTAATCAGTTACCTAGGGAAGAAGCACAAACAAAAAAATCCACCCAAAATACAATAGGAATAGGAAAGGGTGGATATATGTCAGAAATATGTCAATAATTTTACATTGAGATATTTTCCTTTCAAACATTATAAGCATTTGTCAATTGTGGCCGATGCTCTATCCACTGAGCCAAACCAGCTAGGGCACATATACTAGTATATACTTTTATATATAGGTTCATATATTACATATGACAAATGCTTATAAATTCCTCATATAGATTTAGAATTAAGCAACAACATCCCTGGATTTCATAATTTGAGACAGTCTAATTCTATAGTTACAAGTTGGGCCTAGAAAAGTGTGCTTGCTCATTATAAACCTAGCTCTCACCAATATGTTAGATTTTGGGCAAGTTAGCCTATGCCTTAGTCTGACTGTTACAAAGTGAGCAAAGTAGAGTTTGCCTCTGATCTGCTAAAGTAAGTGCAAAGTGCAAGGTGCAAAGTTACATGAGAAAAAGTGCTTACTTGTAAAAGCCAAGTTATGACTAACAGTTAAATTTTTATAGGTAATATAGGAGGCTCTATAAGGACCACTTTTCCTAATTATATGTAAATGTTACTAGATTATTTCTTTGTGACAGACAAGCAAACAAAGAGACACAAGAATCTAAAAAGGATAATGCCTTTGGTAGTCTGTAATGGTGAAGGTATTGCTTTTATGTGCCTTAAGATCATGCTGTCTTAAAGGAGAGACACATACACATATGGTAACATGACTTATACTTTCTAAATATTCAATTTGGAAGGAATTATCAGTCATGTGAGTTTAAGTCTCACCTCTGTAAAAATTATAAAACAGAATACAATTTTACAAATGAGCTTTAATAGAAAAATGCAATGCCTGGTAAAAACATAAAGAACAGAATTTTCTATTTCTCAGGAGTATGTTATATTTCTTTTCTTTGTCTTTCTTTTGTGTGTGTGTGTGATTCTGGATCTCTTTATTACATGTAATAGTTGTATTTCTTGAGCTCCTGCAAGGAGGAAGCAAATTACACATACATACACATCCACCTACAAAAATTTGTGCACACACATTCATTCCAGAGGTTACTAGTAGCCCTATGCATGAATCCGTGCGTGAGTAGCTCCCTGCCACTTGCCTCAGCTGGCCACCCCGCCCACTGCCCCAGTAGCTCTCCACTGCTGGTAGCTCGTTGCCCCGCCCTCCGCCCTGCTGTAGCTCTCCGCTCATAGCTTGCCCCCCTGTAGCTCGCTGCCCCACCCCCCTGTAGCTCTCCGCCGCTTGTACGTTGATCATGACATTACAGCGTCCTGGCTAATTTGCATATTCCTCTATTATTACATTAGATACTCTACTACATTATTTTTTGTTTGTTAACCCTCACCCAAGGATATTTTTCTATTGAATTTTAGAGAGTGAGAGGGGGAAAGACAGAAACATCAATGTGAATGAGACACATCAATTCGTTGCCTCCTGCACACACCCCAACCATGGCCAGGGATTGAGCCTGCAACCGAGGTACATGCCCTTGACTGTAATCAAACTTGGGACCCTTCAGTCTGCAGGCCAAACTCTAACCATTGAGCCAATCGGCTAGGGCAACTCTACATTCTTAAGGAGAGACTGGTCACAAATACGATTAGAAGGAGAGATAAAATATAAGTTAAAATGGTTACTGATAGTGTTTTGTGTCCAGACATTAAGAGATACAAGGGGTTGCTGGTAACTTTAACCAATATTATATTTTAATAGCAGAAAAGTAAATTACTTTTTCTAGGTTCTGAAGCTATTATTTAGAAAAATCATATTTTCAAAATAAATAATTATAGTTATATATAGATAATCCTATATAATAAAAACGTAGTATGCAAATTGTCCCCTTGACCGGAGTTATTCCGGGAGTTCGACCAGGGGGCAGGCCAGCCAGGGGAAGGGAGGGAGGCCCCAGACAGCAGCTGCTAGGTACCCTACCAGTGCACAATTTTCGTGCACCAGGCCTCTAGTTTAACAATAAAATAGGTGCCTACTTAGTAATTTGGGTAACTTTATCAAATTCTAGCCACTCCTAGATTTGAGGCCTGTTTATTTATTTGTTAGTGTAACACTCTTGAAAATCCTTGTTATTACAATCCTCTAAAGATCTAACTCCTTAGCAAGTGCGTTGTTTTTTAGAGAAAATTACTGATCCCACTCCTCATAATGAAACATGACTGATAGCCAGAATTAACAACTAAAACCGGCAATATATGGTGAATGCCATTTTATAATTTAAAATGTAAAACCAAGTGATTATATTAAGGCCATCAATTTATAATGAAGTATCAAATTCTTTGAAGTTTTGCAACCAATAAGAAAACCTAATAAAGAGTGGGCCCGATATTATGATGGGATAATCTAATGGTTACAAATTCTTACTTTTAAAATATTCAACACAAAAAATCTACAACCTTTATCTACCACAAAGGATACAGATATTTCATCAGTTCTACTTATGACACCCATACTACAGATTTTTTTTTGGAACCATTAAAATAAATAAGAAAAAAGTGCTCTCTTCTTAACCGCAAAGATATGGAGTCCAAGCTTCTTATCAGGTTAATAATGATCAAGTTCAGGTTCAAGATGCCGACAGAACTTCTGTGGTGTAGTACTCATGCTTATTCCTCCTTTACTTCTTGCAGTTTGTCATAAAGGGCTGAACTGGCGTGTCTTTATGGTTCGGGAAAAATGAACCATTCAAATAATACGAATCTCCTCTTCCACCAAGATGGCAAGGTGAGCTTAGTGAGATGGGAGTGACAGAGACTTTTTAAATACCCTAAACCCTTTTGTTGATCCAGGATAAGGCGGTGGTGGCGAAATACTGTGTTTTCTGGTCAGTGCTACTGCCTGTTCATAAGAAGGTAATTCTGTGTCGTCCAGTGGAGGTGGTGATGGAAACAAGACAGCCTCCTCAGGTCTTCTGAAAATGATGGAGGGAGTCTGCCTTCCTCTTCTTACGTAGGTGGCTGAAGAACTAAACAGAGATACAGCATTTATGTCTAGAAAAGGCAGCAGTTTTAGTTTAAGGTGGCAACATTTAAAAATCCAACTGACTAATTTTATGAAAGTTGAACCTAATTTATTAATATAACAACAGGTTTCTAACAACAGAAAGAGTCTTTCTTGGTCTAGTGGAAAGATCAAGAGCTTTAAAGTCAGACATGGGTATGAAGCCAGATCCTGTCCTTTGTTAGTCATGTGACCAAAGGCAAGTTAACCTCTTTGTAAAGGGGGAATAATAATAGCTACCTCTACATAAGGACTCAAAATATGCTACTTTCCCTGGATGAAAACTTTCTCAAAGTATGGCATGAAACCAAACCCAGGTTTTGTTGAAAGGCAGCTCAACGCCAAGTCAAGGAAACCAATGCCACCGATAATCACAGCAGCTGATATCTGTCTCTCTACTTTGTCCCCCTCCCGAAGTCCTGCTGCCTGATGCGTAGGTCCCTTCTAAACAGTTCCTTCATCGCATCATTCTTCTCTGCAAAAGTCTAACCTGCAGCGTTCTTCCCATTGAATCGAGTTCTAACTCCTGTACCTCCTTTTCAAAGCCTCCCTTATTCCAGCCTCATCCTGCTTTTTATAGCTCTCTGCTCTTGCCAAGGTAGCCTCTTTAACACTCCTCAGTATGTGCAATGAGCTCTGTGCGTTCACTGGTATGGTTCCCTTCCTCACATTATGTCTTTTTCCCACTCCATTGATCTAAGCCCAACAATGAAAAAATATATATATGGCCTAGTTCTAGTCCCACCATTTTCACAAAACTTTGTCGGTTACACCAGCCAATGAAAATTGAAATGCAATATGGGTCTGATGTTTTGAACCTACCTTTTCCCTCCTCACTTGTAAACTACAAAATGATAATTGAAACATTAGTAAATGGATCTGTTTAGGCTGTGAAGCTGGCTAATCTATGCATAAATTAACCTCCTACAGTTATGGCTAACAAGATAATTAAAATTCATAGGTAATCCCCAACCTCTAGTCAATATTTACAACATCCTTCCCAACAAGAGACAGTTTAGCAGACTCAAAATTCTGTAAACTTTTCCAAACTAAGTAAGTCCATTTGCACCTTAAAACACCCTTCCCTTCAGAGGTAATAATGAGATCTGAAATTGGAGGGAAGGAGAGAAGAAAAAGACCTGTGTAAATCTAGGAACTGGATAATCAGCCCGTCAATAATTGAGAGGTGACCGAGATCATTACACGTTCACTTAGAGGGCTGAACACAATTCCTCCTCTGTCAGAAATCTGGAATGTTCTCATGGTAGGCTAGTCACTTGCCACATTCACTAGCCTGTAACGAAAAGTTCTATTTGTTTGCTTATAGGGAACAGATGCTTTATTTGAACAAATAAATTTTTCCATGTCAACTTTCAAAGCTTGAGATATAGAAACAATATAATAACTGCACCAAAACCATTAAATATCTACACAGCTATTTCTTACATACACCTCAGATGAGTGAAACCAGAAAGTATGCACCAATAACATCTCAAATAAATGGACATCATATTACACCTATTTTACTCCATAAAATAAGAAACTAAGAAATGAAAAGATCTTGTTTCCAATTTCTTGGCATGTTTTTACAGAAGAATGAGACAAACTTTTCTGACAATGATCTTATTTTTCACTCTTTTTCAAATATTTCCTCACCCTTCCCCCATTTCAGACTTGCAAAATATAGAAAGAAAACAAATAACTCTGCTGGAAGAATTTCTTAGGACAATAGATGAAATGTACTTTAGTAAGTATCTAAAAGCTAATCTCAACAAAGGAGAATATTTGGTAAACCTAGTTTGAAATGTCCCCTAAAATGCAAAGGGTCGCTGTGAGGGTTAAAGTGAGACAATAGATGTAAGAATGATCTGTGAACTGTACAGCACTATACTATACTAACATTAAGTGTAACTATTTTTTTAAAAAAGCTGACATTTGTGAACCTTCTTGTATTCTTTTGAAGGACCAGCGTTTTTTATTTTTAATTTTAATACTTGGAAATACTTTCTGTCTGTTAAATAAGGGAAATTAATAGAAGTCATACAGCATAAAAGATAGTGGCTTAAGAAAAATGAAACCAATTCTCCTTACTTTCTCTCACTGCTCAGATTTCTGCAGGATTTACAGAAGTCTGACACACTCCTTAGTCCATGCCCACAGGTCAGATGAATGCCTCAGGGAGCTTTTTGGGAATTCCAGTTTGGGGACAGAATTACAATTTATGTTGCCCCTGTCCTCTGCCCTCTTTGCTGGCATGTCTCCTGTCTGCACCCTTTCTGTGGGCATCCTTACAGGCTCAGTCCTTTGCCTTCTGTTCTTCCATCTCACTCAGAACTTGCCTATTCTCATGGCTTCAGCTTTTATCCTCCAACAGATGAATCCTAATTCTGTATTGTTGCCCTAAACTCTGACCTTAACAATACAGAAAAAAAAAATTTATTGTGATAAAATATATATAACTTAAAATTTGCTATATTAGCCATTTTTACGTATACAATTCAGCAGTATTGATTATATTCACAACGTTCTGTAATCATCACCATTATCTAATATCCATAACCTTTTCATCACCTGGTCACCATCATGCACTTGTTCACTTAATTTGAAAGTGTAAATAGGAATATATAAGCCCCAATTTTGAATAGTCTGTTTAGTATCTGGTGCTTTTAAAAATAACATTATTCTATGCTTACTCATCTATATGTATTGAGAAGATAATACAGAAGCTAATAACCTTTTATTCCTATAAGTACATTGAGGTTCTATTATGTAAACAAGTACTGCTTTTATGAATATTCATGAAACTTTATTAATGTGCTATTATCTTCAAGTGGGTAACCATTTTATTTTATTAATTTTTATTTGATTTAAAGTATCAGTAAAAATAACTGAATTTAAAAGCTATTCTTTTTCTATTTGGGTAGCCACATGGCTAGATCTGATATCACCGTGACTCAGACTAAACTATGGGACTTCTTGCCTCTGGAAAGAATGTGGGGACACTGGTATCTGCCTCCTGCTCAAGAAGGAAACATCGCCCGGCCCGTAGCGTGGTTCAGTGGTTGAACATCAACCTATAGAGGTCAGGGTTTGACTCCTGGTCAGGGCACAAGCCCAGGTTGCAGGCTCGATCCCCAGTGTGGGGTGTGCAAGAGGCAATCGATCAATAATTCTCTCTTATCATTGATGTTTCTATCTCTGTCTTCCTCTCTAAAATCAATTACAATTTTTTTTTTAAAAAAGAAGGAAACATTGAAAATTCAATCTGATATTTGGGAATCTTCTTGTATTCTTTTGAAGGACCTTAGAAACAGCATTTTGAAGTTTTTTATTTGTGTTAAATTAGGCAACCAAACAACTATCATATACCAGAGGAGACTGGGGACACATGACAACTAAATGCAATGTACTATCTTGATTGGCTCCTAGAGCAGGAGGAGGACAATCATGTAAAAATTGGTGAAATCTAAATGAGGTCTGGAATTCAGTTAATATTAATGTACCAATGTTGTTTTTTTAAACTTTTATTTATTTTAGTTTGTTAATCCTCACCCAAGGATATTTTTCCATTGATCTTTTAGAGAGAGTGGAATAGAGAAGGAAAGACAGAGAGAAACATCGAAGTGAGAGAAGCACATTGATTAGTTGCCTCCTGGACATGCCCTAACCCGGGCCCAGGCCAGGGAGGAACCAGCATCCGAGGTACGTGTCCTTGACCAGAATTAAACCCGGGATCCTTTGGTCTGCAGGCCGATGCTCTATCCACTGAGCCAAGCCGGCCAGGGCCCAATGTTGTTTTACAAATGTACTATGATAACATAAACTGTTAACAGTGAGGGGAACTGGGTGAAAGATACATGGTACTCCTTTGAACTATCTTTATCACTCTCCTGTATATCTAAAATTATTCCAAAATAAAAAGTTTATTTAAAAAACAGGCAGCCATTTTAAATCCACTTAAAAATAACAGTACAGAATGTGTAATAGTGAGTTAAATATTTTCATTTGGTACTTACCCTGGATGTCCTTGCCGGTTACACTTAGTGATACAAAGATAGTAACCAAGTAATCCAAAAATAACCAAAAATACTCCAGCAGCAATTAGTCCAGTCAGAAGGCCCAAAACGTCAATTTTCTCTCTGTTTCCACCTTAAGAAAAATCATTAAAATAACGTAAATATAACAACTGAAAAGCCCTACCTGTGGTTTCCATAAATTTAACTCTGGGTCTAAGCACAATATTAAGCATCAAATAATATTAATTTTTAAAAAATCTTTGTGCTAAACATATGACCTACAGAATTTTAAACAGCCCTAACCGGTTTGGCTCAATGGATAGAGCGTCGGCCTGCAGACTCAAAGGTCCCAGGTTCGATTCCGGTCAAGGGCATGTACCTTGGTTGCGGGCACACACCCAGTAGGGAGTGTGCAGGAGGCAGCTGATAGATATTTCTAACTCTCTATCCCTCTCCCTTCCTCTCTGTAAAAAATCAATAAAATATATTTTAAAAAATAATAATTTTAAACACTTCCTGAAAGCCCTAGTTATGGTTTTGTTTCTTTTAAATAAGTCATATTAAATGAATAATATTCAAGACTAAGCGGGATAAACTTAAACTTTGTTCCACTAGGCACACTTTGATAGTAACTACTAAGATTAATGTATTGAGCAACTCCAGTGTAGCTGTGTAATATAATCTCCCTATAAGCTTGGGCCCTATGCAAGAGGAATGAAAGAACAGCTGGCAAAAAACCTACCTAAAAGTCAACTAGAGGTGATCAATATAGATAAAAGACAGGATGGTCCCTCTCTAGAAGTTACTTCATACTACCTAACAATCTTAACTTACCTAGTAACATATGATTTCCATTCACTTGTAATGGTAAAAAAAAAAAAGACAAAACAATTAAAACAGTTTACTACTTTAAAGCAATGGAGTACAACTTTTATTCTGTGCAAGTCTTGACTTAGCTGAGCTGTTTAAAGCAGCTTTAAACCTATTATCTCATTTCCCGAGTATCTCACCAAACTTGATTTTCATTGTATAAATAGATGAATGGGGCCTTTTCTATCTTAGATAGCCCAGTGTATAACTGAGAAAATTTCCTTGAATTTACAAGGTAAGCATGTTGAGCAACAACCAAACTCAAATAATGAAACTAAATGTATTATAAAAGAAAGGGTGTGGGAAAGACATTATTTAATCAATTCTTGTCTTACCTGATATTGTGGTTGGTCCTTTAATTGAATAGTCCTGCCAAAATGCCAGCTAAGAGAAAGATAAATTTTCCAAGTTAATTTCATTTCATTGTCATTTTATTTGGTCCCAATGACCTAGACTAGGGATGGTAAGTTTTTGGCATGTACCACAGGTAAGATACCAGTTCATTCAAGCTAAAGGGTGTGACTCACTTTAATTAAAGCACTACCATGCACTACTGTTTCTCCCAACTCTGGAATGGTCAGGGGATCATTGCCAGTGCCACCTCTCTACCACTGTACCCTGCTATTCTCCCTTCACCTGCCCAGAGCTCCCACGCAGGCATCAGGGAAACTATTGCATTGCAGAGTTGGTGCAAGTGCCAAAGGTAGAAGCTGAGGCAGGAGACTAATTTTTGAAAAGGAGTCTGAATTTTTCTATGCTAAGTGGGACCTCGGTTTGCTAGATTTTATTGAAAGGTATTTATTGATTTAGAAAGACATCCCCAAGGCTGTTTAAGTTCAGTGTTACTTGAGAGAATGGGAGAGATTTTAAGGAACCGTGATAAAATTATAAAACGGGTTTGTGAAAAACAATATAATCTCAACAGGCACCCTTACAAAGTGTAGACTTTGTTTTCCTTCTCTAATACAAGCAGCAGATGTTAGCGCGGAGGCTGGGCACAGTTTTTTGGGAAAAAAAACTACGTTCCATTAAAACCTGCATTTGAAGGATACCAAGCGAGGTTCTTATTGACCAAAGAGTAAAATGGCACTTTTGAGGAAGGGAAAAAGGAGCTGGGGTTATTTAATCTACAAAAGTAAAGAATTTGGGTCATTTAACATTCTTCAAGAATATGCCAGATTATAACAAGGCCAGTGCTGTCTCTGTTTTGTGCCTTTACAAGATGAACAGACGGGATTTCATTATATTTTAAGGGAGAATGTCTCAAAGTCTCTCCCTTACATTTACAGTGATGCCACACAACCGACTCCTGAGTGCGGGGACTGTGTATTTTGTATCTTCAGGCTCTAGCAGAGCACTTGGCACATAGCAGATTGCCAATACCTGAACTATAAATACAGTCATCCAAAAGGTGAGGCCACCGTCCGAAAACACTGCTCAGAGTCTTGGGTTAAAGCCTGTGTCAGAGAGCTAACTCAACTTATATCCTGAAGTTTAGTTCACTGCGTCATGATTGTTTTTGAAGATAATAAACATTAAGCACACAAAATTACAGCATAACCAATCATTTGCTGATTACTATAAGCCCAGTTAATTAAGTATAAAGCCAAGTCTAAAGTAAAAGCTAATTCGCTTTTAAAGAAAGTAGAAAAGAGATGACAGAGATAGAATCCTAATTGTATTTAAAGCATTAAATCTCTAATGACTGCAAGGGCCATTTTCTTAGGTACGAGTTATTAAATTTCCAGACAATTAACATCATTAACCAAATTACCGTTTTATCTTCATCCACAAAAATCTCTCTGGCTTCCTCATAATTGCAGAGCTCTTCGATGCACTCTCTTTCTAGGTCACCTGGAGTGAGGAGCTCCAAATCAAATCTATTATATAGCAGGTGTCTATGAATGAAAGAGTTTGCTTCTTCTTTTGATGTAAATACTAGTGAAGAAACAGAAAGATGTCAAATACTGATAACAATAAGAAAGAAAATTCCTATTTAAATTGTGAGAAGAGTGAAGAGTTCTCTTGATGTAGTTAAGTTACACCAAGCTTTCTTGTGTGGTTTTCAAAGCTGACAAAAAGAAATATCAGTAAAAATAATTCTATCAGTTGAAGCAATTCGTAGATATAGTCTAGTGTTACTCGACTTGACATGGGTTTAAAATACTAAACCAATAATGCAGTACCTCAAAACCTGCCTAACTTAACTGTAACTACATGAAATCTAATTTCAGAAAGGAGAATATTAGAAATCTGCTTCTGTATTGCTACTTCTCAGATTCACCCAGATCTTCACATTTTATTGACTAGAAAGCGGTGCCAAATTTCTCATTGTCGGTCTTCTGTTCGACAAGGTTATCTGAGTTATAAAAATATCCCTACCCTCCTGAATGGCACTCAATAAGGCTACTTTCAACTTGAAAGGAATACAAAAGAGAGAGGCGTAAACGTGTTTTATTGTTCCTGAAGTGATGTTTATGCCAGTACAAATCCTCACCCAGAGGCTATTTGCCACTTCCCTGAGTGTGAAAGTTCCAATTCGGTCAGTGCCTTATCAAACTTTTCCCTGCCTCCCTCACAGTCTTAGGAGAAATGCTGCTTTTTATTGTTTGGGTTCTAAGTAACCCTGAAAGTGCTTATAATTGAAAGAAGCAAACTTCCTTGCTCTGGATCATCCTGAACTTCCGCGAGAGATTCTATTTTCCCTCTGGTCTTTGCATTTTGGATCTGCCTCCTCAGAGTCTCTATCCGTCTCCATTTCTCCTGCCTTAGACCATTCAAAGAGTCCCTCTGTGCATTTCAGACCCACCAGTCCAAACATTTCATTCTCGTTCTCTCTCCAGTCTCCACATGTTTTTTAAATAAATTCCTTGTAAGTCACTGACCTTTATCAGAATTTAGCTGTAGGTTTTCCTAGTTACTTTTCATATTTCCATTTATTATATACCTTTTCATATGTCTTATTTGCATATAGAGAGCACTGGCTTCTGTGCCATACAACTCTCCTAAGACAGAGTTACTGCTACACACTTTCCTCTACTCTGCAGGTCTCTGTTACTACCTTCTGAGTTTATGGTCACTTCCTGTTTACACCCTGCCTCCCAGATCAATGAAGAGGCCCTCCAGGGCAAGGATTACAGCCTTTCATTTCTACATCTCCAGTACACAGCATAGGGCCTGGCGCAGAGTCTGTGTTAACAAAATGGTTAATAACTGAACAAGCTGGCTTTTTAAACATAGAGGATTCCTCTTTTACATTTCCCACAGATATTGCCAGCCTTTTGCACTCAAGTATGATCTCTAAATTCCTTCCAGAGTTTGTGATACTATTTTCGAGAGTGTCTTTTTGTCTGTTACTGTGTGCATAGATGAATACATTCACAAGGATTCTGGGGATCAGCATCTGGTCCCACTGAGAATGGATCATCAACATATATGAGTGAACTTACATACATGGTACAACTTGGGAGATACCAAGAAGGATCTCCTTCCAAAATCTGTCCTTTTACCATGAGCTAGCCTATCCAATTGCCTAGAATTCTGTCATCAAGGGTTCAATTCCTCTGGATTAAGATAATTGCCCTATCTTAAAACCCAATCTCTCTCTCTCTCTCTCTCTCTCTCTCTCTCTCTCTCTCTCTCTCTCTCCTAGAAGGTTTAACACACTAAGCTGTATTAATCATTAATAAGTCATCCAGGAGTATTAGTGTAACAGATCCTTCCCAAATGAAAATGAGCTGAGTAGGATCTGATGAGAAGGGAAGGGATAAGGGACAGGAATGTGTGGGGAAGTAGATCCAAAGTACTAGCGCTGGGTAGGGAAGCAGGGAGAAGGATGATGAGAGCCAAAGCCTTTTCCCCCCCGCTTTTCTGTTGTTTTTTTTTTTTTTTCTTCTTCTTTGTTAGGCCCTTAAAACATGGGCAGGAACCAGTCTATTTATGACCTGGAACCCACGAGGTGTGAAAATATAGGTTAGTAAGCCCCAAACCTAATCTCACAACCATCCGACTACATCCAGAGATTTGAAAAATCAAAAAGGACCTCAGATCATTCCACTCCTCACCCCCATGACTTTACAGATGAAGAAATTCAAGCCAAAAGGCATCAGGTGACTTGCCTAGGGTCTCAACAAGTCCAGACCAGATCTTGGACTCTATCTTTCCAGGAAGAACAACTCATTATGCTAATTATAATTACCACATAGCCTTATGTAAACAAAGAAAAGAAAAGAAAAGAAAAGAAAAGAAAAGAAAAGAAAAGAAAAGAAAAGAAAAGAAAACTGGCACTCACTGATTTTAGAAGTTGAAATAGGTTCTCCATTCAGGTTAACCACAAAGCAGATCTTGTGTGTGTGTGTGTGTGTGTGTGTGTGTGTGTGTGTGTGTGTGTGTGTTTAATCAAAAGTAACTCAAAATCAGTTTGTATCCATTGCACTTAAACCACAACATTACCAAATAAACCAAAAATTAAACTAAAGAATATTTCAGTGTTCCTATGATTGACGAGGGCGTGTAATTTCAAATACTATGCTTCCTAATTTGAGATCTATAATAGGCGGCTTGGGGTTGCAAGAGGGTTTTCTGGGAAACCGAAGCCACGCTCACCTTCTTCCCCCGCATGCCCAGACTCCTCTGGACCTCTCGCACAAAGAGGAAACGCGATGGTAGCTGCGGGCAGCTGGCTGAGTAGAATCAGGAGCGTAAACATAGTCCAGCAACGGTCAAACAAACTAGAACAGAAACAAACAGAAAGACACGTCAAAAAAGCCCCTGGCTCAGCATTGAGTTTCTGTAGGACCTGAGTCACGGGCCTGTTGTGCTCAGAGCCACGGGACAATTGTGCCCCGCGCGCGGTTTCGGTCACCCGGGTCCAATCCGCGCCCTGACAGCGGCCGCGAAAGTGCCTGGGGACAAACGCCGCGCCCCGAACCCGGCCGACGCCCGACCCGGCACCTGCCGCCACGGGCGACCCTCTGCCTCGAATTGCAATCGGACCCGATCTGCGGAGTGGCCGCTCCGAGAAACCCATCCCCCGCCAGGGCCAGCGCGGGGCAGCGCACCTGCAGCTCCGGGCGCATGTTCCCGCAGCTCCCGGGCCGCAGCCGCGTCGTAGGGTGGTGTCTGCGGCCGCCAGACCCTCCGTCTCTGCTCCCCGCCAAATCTCGGCCACGCTCTCTGCAGGACGGGGTGGCCCCCGCGCTCGGGCCACGGAAGCGCCTGGGGTCCGCGAAGGAGTGCCCTGACCGGCACCGGGGCGCGCGCGACGGAACTTCCTGCCTGGATCCCGGGAGGCCGCGCAGCTGATCGGTGGGAAAGGGAGGCGGCGGCTACCTGGGGAGCACCTGGCGGCGCCGCCCCGCCCCGCCCCCGGGGCCCGCCTACCTGCGGCGGGCGGCCAATGCGCGGGCGTCTCCCGGAGCTCGCGCTGCGCTTTCTTAGGCAAGAACCTCCCTCCTGAGCCCTAGGCGAGCCCGGCCTCTGGCCTCCGGTTCTGGCCCCGCCTAAGCGCGAGGGTAGCTGGTTTATCTGGGTTCTAGACCCGGCTTATTCTGCGACTTCAGGAGGGGGTTCTCTGTGCTCAGCGGAGCGTCCTCGGGTCGTCCGGAGGTTTTCGGGTTTGGGCCCCACTAAGCTGCGGGGGGGTCTTGTGGTTCCCTTAACTCAACATTCCTAAAAGGGTGATCTGGGAAGGAGAGCAACATATGCATCAGAGAAAAGTCACTTTAGTAATAATATGAAATGGGAAGTGACATTAAAGTTATTCGGTGGCATTGGTTCTCAAACTCGCCGGATCTGGGACGTCTCCAAGATCTTTTCAAGGAATCTCCGAGATCAAAACCATTTCCATTAGGATAATAAGACAATTTGCCTTTTTCATTTTCTTAATTGATAAAATTAAACTTAATTTTATTTTGCAAAAATCTACAAATACGTATTCTAGATCTGGTTTATCTTCAAACCACGTGTTCGTTTTTTGACAAACATGCCAGTTTATTTGGCATGCCAAACTTCAATTTTTACTAACATTAATATTTTTTTATTTTTTTATTTATTTTTATTTTTTTTAAATTAAATCTTTATTGTTCAGATTATTACATTTGTTCCTCTTTCCCCCCCCCCCCATAACTCCCCTCCTCCCAGTTCCCGCCACACCATCCGCCCTCACTCCCCACCCACTGTCCTCATCCATAGGTGCACGATTTTTGTCCAGTCTCTTCCCGCATCTCCCACACCCCTTTCCCCCCCAAGAATAGTCAGTCCATTCCCTTTCTATGTCCCTGATTCTATTATGATCACCAGATTATTTGTTCACTTGATTCTTCGATTCACTTGTTGATAGATGCATGTTTGTTGTTCATAATTTGTATCTTTACCTTTTTCTTCTTCTTCCTCTTCTTAAAGGATACCTTTCAGCTTTTCATATAATCCTGGTTTGGTGGTGATGAACTCCTTTAGCTTTTCCTTATCTGTGAAGCTCTTTATCTGACCTTCAGTTCCGAATGATAGCTTTGCTGGATAAAGTAATTTTGGTTGTAGGTTCTTGGTATTCATCACTTTGAATATTTCTTGCCATTCCCTTCTGGCCTGCAAAGTTTCTGTTGAGAAATCAGCTGACAGTCGTATGGTAACTGAGTTTCTTTCTCTTGCTGCTTTTAGGATTTTCTCTTTGTCTTTTGCTCTTGGCATTTTAATTATGATGTGTCTTGGTGTGGTCCTCTTTGGATTCCTTTTGTTTGGGGTTCTCTGCGCTTCCTGGACCTGTAAGTCTATTTCTTTCACCAGGTAAGGGAAGTTTTCTGTCATTATTTCTTCAAATAGGTTTTCAATATCTTGCTCTCTCTCATCTTCTGGCAACCCTATAATTCTGATGTTGGTACGCTTGAAGCTGTCCCAGAGGCTCCTTACACTATCTTCATATTTTCGGATTCTTTTTTCATTTTGCTTTTCCAGTTGGGTGGTTTTTTTTTTGCTTCTTCGCATTTCAAATCTTTGCCTTGATTCTTGCGCTCCTCTGGTCTGCTGTTGGGAGTCTGTATAGTATTCGTTATTTCAGTCCGTGTATGCTTAATTTCTAGTTGGTTCTTTATCATAACATCGAGGGTCTCATTAGATTTCTTGTAGATCTCATTAAGTTTATCGGCAGCTTCTAGACAGTTCTTGAGAGACCTTAAAAGTGTGGTTCTGGCCGAAACCGGTTTGGCTCAGTGGATAGAGCGTCGGCCTGCGGACTGAAGGGTCCCAGGTTCGATTCCGGTCAAGGGCATGTACCTGGGTTGCGGGCACATCCCCGGTGGGGGAATGTGCAGGAGGCGGCTGGTCAATGTTTCTCTCTCATCGATGTTTCTGACTCTCTATCTCTCTCCCTTCCTCTCTGTAAAAAATCAATAAAATATATTAAAAAAAAAAAAAAGTGTGGTTCTGAACTCTATATCTTCCATTGACAATTTTGTCCTGTTTCTTTGTCTCCGCATTTTTTTTTTAATGCTTTCTTGGTGCACCCCCTAGTGGTCTTTGTGTGCAGTCTTGTTGTAGTTAAGCCTTGATTGTTGTAGTTAATACTGGGGGGATTTGACCTTCAGGCCAACTGGGTGTGAGAGTCCTAACATTAATATTCATTGAGCGGAAAGAAAAACTCCATTGCTTGATTTTGGTAATTAGCAGTATAATTAAAAACTTGTAATTGCTTTTAAGATAAACACTTTGAAGGACATTTAATAAATCTTGGTTTTGCTCTTCAAAGGAGCCACTATACCAAAGCATTTACCTGGATCTATCAAGTTCCTGCTGATAGAATATTACTTCCAACCTATTTATTAGCTTTTCTTCCTGTAGTCCAATATATGCTTCCCTCCCTCCACTGAATGAAAGTACAGAAAAAGGCAATTTATTTCTTCTTCCCTCCCCACTCCTAGAATCATGACAAAAGGAAAACATTCCCCTACAAATTTGTGTCCAACAGCACTTCCCCCAGTGACTCCTTCCAGTTCATTTTCATTCTCTTATGAATGTACAGTGGAAATTTCCAGAGACCATTTGATGTGTAATGATGTCATCACTCTGCTGACTAATAGAATGCCTGCCTGCATGTGTATTCTTGTGTTTTCTAGTATTTTCTATGGTAGTTGATGTAAGGATCAATATGTATATATTTATAAATAATAGAAATTTATAAAGATTCATAAAATGTTTTATCTCAGTATTTCTGTAATTTTATTAGCTAACCTTGGTATTATCTGTCAGGATAGCTATAACCTCATTATCCTCAAATAAATGGTTATGTTGAAATCTTGAACTTGTCTTTGAGTCTATAGAGAAACAACAAAAAGTAAGTACTCGTCGTTGCCTTAATTTGAAATAATATTTTGAAATTCTCTATTTTAATATGTAATAGAAATACCGTTAGATGGCATTCACATAAGTGAAAGCTCTTTGGGGCCCTTGTTAATGTTAAAGATTATATAAAGTTCCCAAGATAAAAGAGTTTGAGAACTGCCGCCATAAGTAATGAAGGCAGCAGGTGGACAAAGGACCTCTGGCAGGTGATTTTCTCATCCTTCTTTGTCCAAACAACATGCTTAGCAATTCTTTGGAACATCACTTAAGGTTCCATGCTTTGGCTTGGCACTTGCTGGAAGCCAAAGGAAACATTCTCCCCGACCCCTTCTAATCTTTGGTTAAGTCAATTTCCACTAAATTTTCTTTTTTTCTCCCCACAAAGGCTACTATTGTCAATTTTATCTTAATGTTTTAGAATCAACTGTATTCTTCTTTAATCTTCTACAGAATATTTGTTTTCACTGATTCCTTATACCAGGGGTGGGGAACATCCGGCCTGCGGGCCGTATAAGGCCTGCAAAATCATTCGGTCTGGCCCTGCCAAGGCATTAGGGGTGAGTTAATTAAATATTTGACCAAATATAGCAGGCTAATTTTTAAGTTGATAATTTTGTATGGCTCATGAATGATGTTAAAATTATCCAAATGCGCCCTAACTGATTTGGCTCAGTGGATAGAGCGTCGGCCTGCGGACTAAAGGGTCCCAGGTTCCATTCTGGTCAAGGGCATGTACCTTGGTTGCAGGCACATCCCCAGTAGGGGGTGTGCAGGAGACAGCTGAGCGATGTTTCTCTCTCATCGATGTTTCTAACTCTCTATCCCTCTCCCTTCCTCTCTGTAAAAAATCAATAAAATATATTTTTAAAAAATATATCCAAATGGTCCTTGGCAGAAAAAAGATTCCTCACCCCTGCTTTACAAGTTCCAACTCCTATTCGCCTTGTTCTCTATCCTGGTCCTATCATAGATCCTTCTTCTTTCACTCTTCAGTTCTTTTTTTTTTTTTTAAATATATTTTATTGATTTTTTACAGAGAGGAAGGGAGAGAGATAGAGAGTTAGAAACATCGATGGGAGAGAAACATCGACCAGCCGCCTCCTGCACATCTCCCACTGGGGATGTGCCCGCAGCCCAGGTACATGCCTTTGACCGGAATCGAACCTGGGACCCCTCAGTCCGCAGGCCGATGCTCTATCCACTGAGCCAAACCGGTTTCGGCCACTCTTCAGTTCTTTTATTGTCCTTAAGCAAATGGGATCAAACTAAAGAGGCTAGAAATGATTTCTTGTTGGTTGACATACAATAACAAAAAAATGTCTTCATTAGAATACCCATTCTTCTATTAATTCACTCGTTTAGCCAAACCACAACACTAACATCTAAGGATGGAGAGATCATCACTGTCCATATTTTGGAGAAGAATGTAATCTAAGATCTGTATCTAAGAATGTGGGCCTATAAAGTTCTTATCAAGAGCAAGAACTGACTTATTCAGCTTTATATTCTACACAGTACCCAGCAGAGTGCCTTTTATGTTGTTTGTGCTCAGTCTATATTTTTGGGTGGAAGCAATTTATTTCCAGGTAGGAAAAGTACTTCACGCTATTTTGAGAGTGGCAAATGGTCAGATGCTTCATGCTGTGGAATCAGCAGATGTGAACTTTAATTACATTCCTTGGCAGAAGGCATCCACCCACATATCTGGATATTTGGACCAAAATAAATGAGGCTTTGTGTTCAAGTGAAATATCACTTTATAGCCTGAGAGGGGAGGTGGATATAGAAATGAGTCTGTTTCTCAGTAGTGAAGTACATCCCTGAATGTTTACCTGTAATATTGGATCCTACAGAATATTATAGCATTTGGCAATATGCACATAAACTTCAGCCACTATGGAACTGCAAGATATTTTGAGAGTAGACAGCAAAGAGAAAAGAGTGTAGTCAGAAACAACATTGTCCAAGATTGTTGATTTCTTCTATTT